GAAATAAGAACTGTGCGACAAGTCACTGATAAAGATGCTGTCAAACAAAAACTCACTGTTGTTGTGGAGGATAACGGACAGCCCTCTCGCTCAGCTGTGGTCTCCATTAACGTGGCTGTGGCTGACAGCTTTCCTGAAGTGCTTTCAGAGTTCACAGATTTTACGCATGAGAAACAATATAACGACAGCTTAACTTTTTATTTAGTTCTGGCTCTGGCCGCTGTTTCCTTCCTATTAATCACTTGTGTGGTTGTGATAATATCAGTTAAAATCTACAGATGGAGACAATCTCGCTTCCTCTATCAGTCCAATCTGCCTGTTATTCCGTACTATCCACCGCATTACGCAGACACAGGAGTCACTGGAACTCTGCCGCACGGCTATAATTATGAAGTGTGCATGACGACTGACTCGAGGAAAAGTGACTGTAAGTTTTCTACACTCGGGGGTCAGAGTGTTTTAGTGGTGGACCCCAGTTTTACTGAGACGATGCAGCACACGATCAAGAAAAGTAATACTTCAGAAAGTGAACACTCAACATCGGTAAGAAACATATTTTTACTTCACAAAACAAAAACAGAAAATACTTGATTCAATTATTTAGGTTTATTTATATTGATTTCAGAATTATTTTTAGTTCATTTAAAATAGATTTTAGTTTTTTAAATGAAGCAAAAAAAATAAATACTAATTGCTTAAAACGTTTTTGGAAAATAAAAATAACTTTAAAAATATTATCTAATAATTTACACTGGTCTGAAATATGTGTTATAAAAACTTAAATGTTTATGGTAGTTTTTCTTTTTTTGCCTGCCGTCATTTATGCGGGCTACTTTAGATTTGTTTTTAGGTACCATATTCTGTTGCCTGACACTGTGTTCAAATGGGTATTAGTGTTTATATCAGTTTGTGGAAAAGCTACGTGTGGCAAAATTCTATTTATCACTCCTCTTTCTCTTTAACACCTTAGTAATTATGGTGGTTGTCAGTGAAAGTTAAAATATCAAAACATGCTTTAGTGACACAGTTTTTTAGCTAATGTAGCAGAAAAAAAGAAAATAGTTGTTGGGCCTTTATCGTGTTTGTAAAGTCCATCAGTTTAAAACTAACAATTTACATGCTGCTTTTATATTAGTTTACATTTTAACTATTTAATTTCTGGCAAATAGCTATCTCTTATTGTGCATACACATGAACATTGATAGATGTGTGTCTGTGTGTGTGTGTGTGTGTGTGTGTGTGTGTGTGTGTGTGTGTGTGTGTGTGTGTGTGTGTGTTTGTGTGTTTAAATTGTAATTTTCAAGTGTTTTGCCCTCTAAAATGCAAGTTCAGGCTATTTCAGCACCACATCGTGGACAGCGCCATTATGTAGTCAGTTTGTAAATAACACAGTGAACAGTCATTTTGTTTTCTGTAATCTAAAACAACAAGTGCTCGTTATATATATATATATATATATATATATATATATATATATATATATATATATATATATATATATATATATATATATATATATATATATATATATATATATATATATTTTTTTTTTTTTTTTTTTTGAATAACAGTATTACCATGGTCCATCTTATATTTTAATACATTTTGACTGCGGTAAAATTGATTTTTTGTTTGTAGTGCTTGGTTTTGACTCAAAGGGCCGCTGTTTGTCAATTTAACACACTGACTGTGTGTATTTTAAGCCCAGCCCAATCAACCCATATTTACAGCGAGAGAGGAAAAACGGAAAGCTTTTCTATCGCTCATTATTTCAGTGTCTTGACACAAATGCGATATCTCTTACATGGTCTGACTGAGGACTTAACATTTTTCTTTAAAGTTATCTGCTTGGACGTCTTTAGCACTACGTATGTTTTATGTTTTTGATGCTGTCGGGAAAATGGCCGGTCTCGTGATGTGGTACTCGGTATTGTTTTCCTTCATCCTTCTTCATTGGGCAAGAGGACAGGTCAGTTACTCCATTCCAGAAGAAATGGCAAAAGGTTCTACTGTGGGAAATATCGCGCAAGATTTGGGCTTGGATTTACAGAGATTGAGATTAGGAAAAGCGCGCATATATACAGGGGACAGTACTGAATACATTGCCCTCAGTAAAGACACTGGATTGCTGCTCATCAAAGAGAAAATGGATCGCGAGTCTCTTTGTGCAAAAACGACTCCGTGTGCTTTACATCTTCAGCTGATTCTCGAAAACCCAATGGAATTATACACAATTACGATTGAAATCACAGATATAAATGATAATCAACCCGCATTTCAGAAAACTCGAATTAACTTTGAGATCAGCGAATCGGCCGTAACAGGAGCGAGGTTTATGCTGGAAGAAGCTGTGGACGCGGATGTAGGAGTTAATGATCTCCAAAGCTATTCTCTAAAACCAACTGACAATTTTGCCCTTGAACTGCACAGTCAAGCAGGCGGTGATAAAAATGTTGAGATGGTTTTGCAAAAACCACTTGATAGAGAAAAGAAAGGAGTGGTGACGCTATTGCTCACCGCCATTGATGGCGGGGATCCGCAGTTGTCTGGAACTGTTCAAATTCATGTTACTTTACTCGATGTTAACGACAATGCTCCTGTATTTACGCAAAAGGTATATAAAGCCACAATAACTGAAAATGCAGCAAAAGGCTCCAAGCTGGGCACAGTTAGCGCTACTGACGCAGATGAGGGATCTAATGGTCATGTGACGTACTTTATGGCAAGCAAAGAAGATAATGTGCGAAATTTGTTCATGATCGATCAGCATAGTGGTGAAGTTTTTTTAAATGGCCTCGTTGACTTTGAAAAGGCGAGTCACTACCAGATTAATATCATGGCTAAAGATCAAGGAGGGCTTTCTGATTCATGTAAACTGATTATTGATGTGTTAGACATTAATGATAACAAACCAGTGATAAATGTACTCTCCATGTCGAACTCTGTATCTGAGGACTCCGCACCCGGTACAGTTATTGCTATGATGAAAGTAGATGATGCGGATTCAGGTGTAAATGGACAGATTCAGTGTATTATAGATGACAATATTTCATTTGCTCTAACATCTCAATCCAGTAACTTCATCAGTCTGCGTATAGAGCAGCAACTGGACAGAGAGAGAAATGCTGAATATAATATCAGTGTCACATGCTCTGATCAGGGGGTGCCCACGCTCTCCAGTAGCACCTCTCTGTCTTTGCAGATATCAGATGTGAATGATAATGCTCCTGTCTTTGAGAAAAGTAACTACGAGGCCTTTGTGGTGGAGAATAACACACCTGGTCTCTCTATATTTACAGTCAAAGCCAGTGATGCTGACTGGAATCAGAATGCTCGTGTTTCTTATATTCTTGAAGACAGCACTGTTAATGGAGTCTCGGTCTCATCATATGTGTCAGTGCACCCTGACAGTGGACTGATTACAGCTGTGCGCTCTTTTGACTATGAGACACTGAAAGATTTCCACTTCCGCGTAAAAGCGCAGGACGGAGGCTCTCCTCCACTTAGTAGTAACGTGACAGTGAAAGTTATTGTTCAAGACCAGAATGACAACGCTCCTCAGGTTCTGTATCCAGTGCAGACTGGCGCTTCAGTGGTGGCTGAGATTGTGCCTCGTGCTGCAGATGTTGGATATCTGGTCACTAAAGTGGTGGCTGTTGATGTGGACTCTGGTCAGAATGCCTGGCTCTCCTATAAACTACAGAAAGCTGCAGACAGAGCGCTGTTTGAAGTGGGTTTACAGAATGGAGAAATAAGAACTGTGCGACAAGTCACTGATAAAGATGCTGTCAAACAAAAACTCACTGTCGTTGTGGAGGATAACGGACAGCCCTCTCGCTCAGCTGTGGTCTCCATTAACGTGGCTGTGGCTGACAGCTTTCCTGAAGTGCTGTCAGAGTTCACAGACTTTACGCATGAGAAACAGTATAACGACAACCTGACTCTTTATTTAGTTCTGGCTCTTGCAGTGGTTTCCCTGCTCTTCATAGTCTCCATTATTTCCATCATTTCAGTCAAAATCTACAGATGGAGGCAGAATAAGTTGTTTTATAAATCAGGAGCAAATCTACCTGTAATTCCATATTATCCTCCGGTCTACGCAGACGGCACATTACAGCACGTGTATAATTATGAAATGTGTGGGACCACAGACTCAAGGATGAGTGACGTGAAGTTTGTCAGGCCCTACAGTCAGAACACACTGGTCAGCCAGAGTCGTTTGGGGACAGTTCAGAGAGAAAAAGAGGAGGAGGTTGATGGGCTGACTTTAGAGGTGAGATCTTGTTGATATTTAAAAAATTATCTCATCACAATGAAGGAGCAGATAGCTGGGAATGTTGTCTGTCAATAAGTCTGTCATTTTAATATGCCGTGTGTATCAGAACTTATGAATTTCCTTTGACACTATATTTGACATTATACATAGGCCTATATATAATTTTTTAATGCTACTTTTTAACAATTTTACTCACTGAATGAATAGATGGGATTTAAAAAAATAGATAAAACAAATAAACAATAAATTACCAGACTAATTGCATGTATTTGGACACTTCAACCTAAAAAAATGCATTTAAAAGCTAAATATTAAATATAATAGAATTTACTGTAAAGATTCATAAAATAAAAGTTGTGTATCTGCAGAATTCTGTATTTTCTGTTATAAAATTCAGACGTGTAAAGCATCAAAAATTAAGTTAAACACTGAGTCAACTTTAGTTGAACAATAAGGCAAATGTTTTCAGCAGTTGTTGTATAAATAAAAAAAATGTATTTTCTAAATCAGGTGATGCACATTTTACCTTTTAATATGCACTATTTTTTATCACCTACCAAAATATAAAACAGAAGCGATGTTGTTTTTTCTTTCCTTTATGTATTACAAATCTTTACACTATCACGACATCAAGGTTGTAGTCAAGCATAATAAGGAAATCACACGTACAATTTGTGTTATCTGTCTCCCTGATGTCACGTGATTGAATGATAACAACACATAGACTGATAGCAACCACTCATTTATTCGAGTACTTTTAGGAAGTATTTTTCACACTTATTTTTTTACAGCTATTTCATAACCTTATGACTTTGTATAAGTGTTTAGTCTTTAAAATCCTTTTTGCAATTACTTTTCTGTAGTGCTGTATTTGAACTCTAAGTGCCGCTGTTCAACCTATATAGAATTTCTAGTCTTTTATCCCTCCCTTTCATAAAACCCAGTGGCATAATTTAGATAACCAAGAACCTTGGACGGCGCGTAACTGATCACCAAAACGCCTTTCAGATTCGACCGCATGCTTTGTAATCTAGAGGGAAAGGCAATTTGTTGGAAACAGACAGAAAATAATTAATTGTGCCTTTTGCTTTGAATGCATCCTCTTCATCTTTGTTGATCAAAAATGGAGTCGGGAGGAAAAGGCTGGAGATATGGCTCGCTATTCTTCTACACGTTGTGCGCAATGGCTTTATTTTCTTCTCGCGTGAGCGGACAGATCCGTTATTCGATACCTGAGGAAATGCAGGTGGGCTCGTTTGTTGGAAATATCGCCTCGGACCTCGGGTTTGAGCCGAAGAGATTGGTTTCAGGAAAAGCGCGTGTTTTCACCACGGACAGCAGTGAGTACATTGGCCTGGACAAGGAAAACGGACATCTGGTTATCAAGAATAAAATAGACAGAGAAGAGCTTTGTGGAGAGATTTCTGCCTGCAGTGTAAGTTTTGATGTGATTTTAGAAAATCCGATGGAGCTTTATCGAGTTACAGTTGACATTCAAGACATCAATGACAACAGCCCCGCTTTTTTGAAATCTAAGATTGAACAAGAAATTAGTGAACTAGTTTTAATAGGTGCGCGATTTCCATTAGAGAGCGCGGTAGATCCAGATGTGGGAGTGAACGCGCTACAAAAATACACTCTTCAACCCACCGACCATTTTAAGCTTAATGTTCAGAATGCAGAAGATGGAAGTAAAAATGTCGAGATAGTTCTTCATTCACCACTCGATAGAGAAAAGAAAAATCATCATAGTTTGATTCTGACAGCTTTCGATGGTGGAAAACCACAAAGATCTGCTACGTTACATATTAATATTATTATTCTGGATGTTAATGACAATGCACCTGTGTTTAGTCAGTCGTCTTATAAAACATCAATAGTTGAAAATGCTCCTAAAAGCACAGTTGTAATAAGAGTGAGTGCGACCGATGCTGACGAGTCTAGTCATGGCATTCAGTATTATTTTGAGCACGCGACACCCACAGTAAAAGCTTTGTTCTCCATCGATGCGGATTCAGGTGACGTTAAAGTCACAGGTCAAATAGATTATGAAAAACACAAGCAGTTCAAAATCAAAGTAAAAGCTAAAGATCACGGAGGTTTGACTGATTCGAGTGAGATAATTATTGATGTCATTGATGTGAACGACAACAAGCCCAAAATCACTATAATGTCTTTTTCCAGCGCAGTATCTGAAGACGCTGCACCAGGAACTGTTATAGCCATGATTAATGTTCAAGATCTCGATTCAGGTGACAACAGCAAGATTTCATGTTCTATTGATCTGAACTCTCCATTTAAAATCATTTCTTCATTAACTAATTATTACAACCTGGTGACAGACTCAGAACTAGACAGGGAACAGACAGCAGAGTATAATATCACTATAACTGCAGTAGATGGAGGAAACCCACCTCTTTCTGTTAAAGAGATTTTAAACTTAAAGATATCAGATGTGAATGATCACGCACCTCAGTTTGTGCAGGAATCATATAATGCCTTTATAGCTGAAAATAACCCACCATCTACGACTATTCTGACTGTCAAAGCAGAGGACATGGACTGGGGGCCGAATGCAAAGGTCTCATACTTTCTTATCGATGCAGATTTAAACGGAGCACCTCTGGCATCTTATATTTCTATAAATTCAGAGAGTGGAGTAGTTTATGCAGAAAAATCCTTTGATTATGAACAACTCAAATCATTCAAAATGCAAGTCAAAGCTCAAGATGGAGGCTCACCTCCTTTATCCAGTAATGTGACTCTAAACATCATCATTCAAGATCAGAATGACAACGCTCCTCAGGTTCTGTATCCAGTACAGACTGGCGCTTCAGTGGTGGCTGAGATTGTGCCTCGTGCTGCAGATGTTGGATATCTGGTCACTAAAGTGGTGGCTGTTGATGTGGACTCTGGTCAGAATGCCTGGCTCTCCTATAAACTACAGAAAGCTGCAGACAGAGCGCTGTTTGAAGTGGGTTTACAGAATGGAGAAATAAGAACTGTGCGACAAGTGACTGATAAAGATGCTGTCAAACAAAAACTCACTGTTGTTGTGGAGGATAACGGACAGCCCTCTCGCTCAGCTGTGGTCTCCATTAACGTGGCTGTGGCTGACAGCTTTCCTGAAGTGCTGTCAGAGTTCACAGACTTTACGCATGAGAAACAATATAACGACAACCTGACTTTTTATTTAGTTCTGGCTCTTGCAGTGGTTTCCCTGCTCTTCATAGTCTCCATTATTTCCATCATTTCAGTCAAAATCTACAGATGGAGGCAGAATAAGTTGTTTTATAAATCAGGAGCAAATCTACCTGTAATTCCATATTATCCTCCTGTCTACGCAGACGGCACATTACAGCACGTGTATAATTATGAAATGTGTGGGACCACAGACTCAAGGATGAGTGACGTGAAGTTTGTCAGGCCCTACAGTCAGAACACACTGGTCAGCCAGAGTCGTGTGGGGACAGTTCAGAGAGAAAGGAAGGAGCAGGAGGTTGATGAGCTGACTTTAGAGGTGAGACTCTTCCACATACTGTATGTCCTCACTGCAGCAGCAGGTGTTTAAAGCTTAAAGTGCTGCACTTTTCATGGAGAATTTGTAAGACATTAACCTTTATCTGTATGTTTTAGCAGATGTTGTATATGATGTTTTGAGAAAATTGACTACATATTTAGTGTCTTAAGTGCAAAGTTGGTGCATAGAGAACTCAGTTTCTCCCACACACAACAGTAGACACACGCACACACACAGACACAGACTTAGAGGTTTCTTTTTGTGAACTGTGGGGACAAAGCTGTTTTTTTGTTTTGTTTTTTGTACTAACTGTATTTTCTAATGACCTTAACCTACAACTTACAGGAAAATTTGTGCATTTGTACTTTCTCAGCAACAACAAAAACTGTCATGTTGTATGATTTATAAGCCTTTAAAAAATAGTGACATGGGGCAATGTTCACTTAAAGAGATAGTTCACCCAAAACTGAAAATTCTGTCATAATTTACTCACCCTTTACTTGCTTCAAACCCTGAAAGAAAATATTTTTAAGAAAGCTTTAAACTGTTAACCATTGACTTCCATATGTTTTTTATTATATACAGTTGAAGTCAGAATTATTGGCCCCCCTGAATTATTAGACCGTTTGTTATTTTTTTCCCCAATTTCTCTTTAACGAAGAAAAGATTTCTTCAACATAGAGCTTGGCGAGAATTCCATATCGATAATTATCACGATATAAAAAATTTCGATAAAACGATAATGACAGTTCGATAATTGCTCGATAATATTTGCACTATGCATAACATTGCGCAAGCATTTTGCAGCCTGCCCTCTCGGATGCCGCACGCCGTACAAGTTTACAGTCATAGTTGTACTTAAAGGAGTAAGAAAATAAGGTAAAAAAGGTCAGAGTCACAGACATTGTTGACAAGAAACGTCACTAGACCTCAGTCTTGAGCTACTTAAGTTTTTTGCTATCCAACACAAAACAGCAACGTGCACTGCAAACTGCGCAAGACGATTCGTGTCATCAAAAGCAGGCAACACCACAAGCCTGTTTCATCATTTAAAACAACACCACCCTTATGAAGATGCTAAGAAATTACAGACCTAAACAAGTGCTGGTAAACCAGGGCAACTACCCAGCAGAGTCTCATGTCATCATTTTCAAAAGCCGTGCCCACGAGAAAAAAAACCCCGAAAAGACAAATGTAAGATATGACAGACAACACAATCTAAATTACATCTCAATGAACACTTAAAGTTTGCTGTACAGGCTGCATTAAGGATATTTACACTACAACATTTACACTAATAAAAAATAATATAGTAGCAAATTCAAAGTATCTAACAAAAATTAGATAAACTCGAGTAAGGGGACAATAGTGAAGCCCCAAAAAAGAAAAAAATATAACAAAACAATTCTAATGCATGACTAACCCCTCTTACCTCTCTAAAAACAGATGAAAAGAAAAAAAGTCCTTCAGCGCAGTGCGCCGCATTCTTCCCTACAAAATAAATATAAAGATGACGTTCATCGTCTTACCTGATGTCTTTAACAATACATTTTCTACGTGTTTGCAGAATGGAAGTCGTACAACATCTTCCCTATCCACCTTACTCTGAGAAAAGAGTTAACTTAAGGAGATAAATCTCAATATTGTCGGGAAAGAGCCTAGCCAAAAAATAACATACAAATCAATCTAAATATATATGAACAAAACTCACTAAATGGGCTCTATTTTGACGGTCCATGCGCAGAGCGCAAAACGCAGAGCGCAAACGCTTTCAGGGCGTGTCAGGACGCGTTTTTGCTAATTTAAGGACGGGAAATCTGCCTTGCGCCGCGGCGCATGTTCTAAAAGGGTTGGGTTTATTTTCTTAATGAGTTATAGGTGTGTTTTGAGAATAAACCAATTAGAGTCTCATCTCCCATTCCCTTTAAGAGTCAGCTGCGTCGCACCAAGAGCGCATTCGCTATTTACAGGACGCAAAGTAAGTCTAAGTGGAAATAATGAGCATTTCACAAGCAAACAGTTAACAGTTTTTTAACAGAAAACTGTTAAACAGAGCATCTACTGCGTGAGAATGAGAGATAATGGATCACTTTCACTTTCGCTCTTGGATAGGGAAACCTTTACACACAGACATCAATTAGTCTAAAAATAAATAATTTTGTTTGTTAAGCGCAAATATTCGTTTCAAAACTATTTTTAAATTCAGTTCTAATTTCCAGCAAACGAATAAATGAATAATAATAGCAAAATGTGCTCAAAAACCTGAGTTGTATCCTAAAACACATGTTGTGCCCCATATGAGCGCTAATGCATTTGCCATTTAAACAGCGCAGCGCAACGCTTCAAAACGACTCTTGCACCAAGCTGAAATACCAAAAAACTACTGCGCCACGCCTTGCGCCACACTGCGCCGGGTGTATGATAGGGCCCAATGTCTCAAATTGAAAAAAAAATAAGGCAAAATAATTTTACCCAAACGAAAGTTAAGCAAAAACTACGAAAATCAAAATCATGTCAGCTAAATACACCAAAAACCAGATCAAAGGAAAAAGCGCGCTCTCCGCTTTTCATATCCCCGCGCGGCCGCGCCATCTCCGCCAAGCCTCCGAAACGCGGCCAGCTGCAGACTGCAGTGAAGGCGTGCGCTTGCACCGCGTGAATGATTCTCCTCGCAAGGCGCTGCAGTCGTGGAAATAAGCGATCTTGTTTCTCCCAGGACGATGGCAGATTTTTCTCTGAATCGTCTAACTGCCTTACTCTTCATTATTGGGCGTCTCATTTCTTCCCATTCTGCAAAGCCCACTCTCTGCTTTTTCGCTGATCCACTGCCATGTCCCGCTATATACCCACAACCGACCTGCAATTAGCTAATTATAATGTATTTTTTTATTACTTGACCCGTGGATTATCTGCAGCGCTCGGATATATAACCGCCATATACGCATCACTAACGGGAGGCAAAAATACAACCTTTATGGCTACAACAGTAAAATTAATTTTAAACAAAACTGCAATGTAATTTACTGGTGAATATGTCATTTAAAAACACTATACAAACACAGTATATGTATTTCCATTAATTTAAACGGAAACCTATCTATCTAAATAAAAAACTTAATCAAAAACGAGCATCTCTATGTCTGTATCTGCACAGAGATCAAGCTTCTCACCTGAGAATGTGGACATTACGGAGTTTTTGAAGAAGAACTTAAAACTTAATTAAATATTCCAAATGTCCTTAGAGAGGACAAGCTTGTTTATCTTTCACTAGTCTACACTGCAGTTATTTATTTAATTTTAGTTTACTCAGTTAAGATGGCTGCACTAAGGATAATAGTTTTTTTTTTTTTGACTAGTCTATATTAGAAGTATTTATTTAATTGTTGTTGTTTACTCGGGTATCCTGACTTACTACAATGTGAAAACTGAAAATTCTGTGACCATTAACTCACCTTTACTTTTTCCAAACCGTTTTTTTTTTTTTTTCTGATGTTAAACAATAATATCCTAACTTATAATGTCTTTGGTTGTTGAAAACTAGAACAGTAAATGCTGAATTAGGATTGTTCTTTAGATTATTATTTTATTATTTATATTGTCAGACAGCTAAAACATTTCCCTAATGTGTTAAATCAGCTGCACAAAGCGATTAGCATACTGAAAATCTTGTAAAATTGATAGATATAAAGATTTTACGTTTATCGTGATAAATATCGATATTGACTGATATGAAAAAAATTATCGGGATAATTTTTTTTGCCATATCGCCCAGCTCTACTTCAACACATTTCTAAACATAATAGCTTTAATAACTTATTTCTAATAACTGAATTATTTTATCTTTGCCATGATGACAGTAAATAATATTTTACTGGAAAATTTTCAAGACACCTCTATTCAGCTTAAAGTGACATTTAAAGGCTTAACTAGGATAATTAGGTTAACTAGGCAGGTTAGAGAAATTAGGCAAGTTATTGTATAAGGAGGGTGTGTTCTGTAGACTATCAAAAAATATATGGCTTAAAGTGGCTAATAATATTGACCATAAAATAGTGTTTAAAAATTAAAAACTGCTGTTATTTTAGCTAAAATAAAACAAATAAGACTTTCTCCAGAAGAAAAAAAAAACATTATCAAACATGCTGTGAAAATGTCCTTGCTCTGTTAAACATCATTTGGAAAATATTTAAAAAAAGAGGAAAATAATTTGTAGGGGGCTAATAATTCTGACTTCAACTGTACATAATAAAAACATATGGAAGTCAATGCTTAACAGTTTATATTTATGGGGTGACAGTGTCGCAGTGGGTAGCAGGATTGAGCCTCGGCTGGGTCAGTTGGCATTTTTGTGTGGAGTTTTGATGTTCTTCCTGTGTTTGCATTGGTTTCTTCTGGGTGCTTTGGTTTCAAGGGACTAAGGTGAAAAAAATGATTCAATGAAAAAAAAATTATATATATATATATATATATAAACACACACACACACAGTTGAAATTAGGAGTATTAGCCCCCCTGAATAATTAGCCCGTCTGTATTTTTACCCCCAATTTCTGTTTAATGGAGATATTTTTTTCAACACATTCCTAAACATAATAGTTTTATAACTTATTTCTAATAATTGATTTATTTTATCTTCGTCATGATGACAGTAAATAATATTTTACTAGTTATTTTTCAAGACACTAGTATACAGCTTAAAGTGACATTTAAAGGTCTCACCACTTTAATTAGGTTAACTAGGTGAAAATGTCCTTGCTCTGTTAAACATCATTTGGGAAATGTAAAAAAAAAAAAAAAAAATCAAAGGAGGGCTAGTAATTCTGACTTCAACTGTATACACACAAACAGAGAGAGAGAGAGAGAGAGAGAGAGAGAGAGAGAGAGAGAGAGAGAGAGAGAGAGAGGGAGAGCTTGTATCTCTGCTTCAAGACCTTAATAAAATCCTAATTTGATGATTGTCGGTTGCTACTCTTCCAATTTAGATATAGGCTAATTTACTA